CCGCCCCGCTGGGAGCCGCGCTCCGAGCCTGACCCCAGCCCGCAACGCTGCCGCCAGCCGGGGGGGACCGCGGCGGGGCGCAGCACTGAGGGACACTGAGGGACACTGAGTAAATCCTCCGGTATCTTCTGTGTTTCCTCCTGCTTTAGAGCTGTAGCGAACAGCAGGAACAGATTGAGTGGGATCGTGATTTTTTTAACCTTATCAAGAGTTTTCAGTCCTGTTTTCAAAACGGGCTTCTGTAAGTGGGTAGATCTGTATGAAACCTGTTAAATAAAGGCTCGTTCAGAACTAGCCAGAAGTGCTGCTCGGTTTTCTGCATGTATTCTTAATTTTAAAATGTTATTAACTAATGTAGCGGCTGCCAATGAAAGTTTTATTTATTTATTAATTTCAACAGTTGTATTAAAATTTTCTGTTTATTTTCAAGTGGCACTTCTTCACACACTGAAGTATTCTGAGTCAAATAAAGTATTTCAAGCATAACAGCATGTACTGTTTTAATTGCTTACCTAATGCCTTGCTGAAGACTGACACTTGACAGGAGCAGGAGCTGGCATTCCTCATGATCCATGAGGAAAATGCACACTTCCAGGCATACCTTTGTGCCTTTGTTAATTCCTTGACCTGGGAAAAATCAGATTCCCAGTGATACTGTACGGATCAGACTGTAAGACTGAAATAATCTCTTTTCCCTCTGTTGTTTTGGGTTTTTCTTTTTACATGTTTAGGATTTTCCAAGTGTTGGTAGGAGTATTCTTTTATTTACTGTTTTCTAGATCCCTTTCAAAATATTTAAGAAACATAATCACATTGAGAACCAAAATTCTATTCAGCTTGGCAAATATTTCAAGGCAAATGCCTGTGAAACCAGTTTCAGATAATGTGGAAATACTGCTCAGTATGTGCAGCTGCAGTAACTCACTTTAAAACAAGGATTCTCATGGTAAACTCCACTCTCCCATTCCATTCCAGGTTTCATTCCAGAGAAGCCGTGTCCTCGTTTCTGTATGAATGTTCCAAGTTTATTTCATTTTGCATTCTTGCTGAGAGGGGTGCAAACACCATCATGGGCACGGTGGATTTTGAGGAAGCAGCAGCTCTCTCTGCCCAGCCTTCCCTTGCTTCAGGCAGCAAGAAAAAGGAACTCTTTGAATCTCCTTGAACTAAGTGAGGCAGAATTAGAAGAACAGTTTGTAAGAGGTGATGGTCCAGGAGGTCAAGCCACAAATAAGACAAACAACTGTGTTGTCCTGAAGCATATTCCATCTGGGATTGTAGTGAAGGTAATTGTGTTTTATTTTATTGAGTCACAAATTGCATCAGGACTTCCAAGTCTCCTTTCAGAATAAAGCATAATCACAGTGCAGGTGGCATGGAGGAGAAGTTTATATATATATATATTGTAAAGAATCAAGAAGCAGTCTTGGCTGTCAGCAGATAAATAAACTTGGGGTCAGAGCTGCTTTTCCTGGCTTTGCCACCCAGTTACAGTTTTGTAGTTTTCAATTAAGTGAATCTTCATTGTAGCTGCTGTTTGGTGGCAGCTGTCACATTCCCATCCCTCACATGAGTTAGAATCTCTTCCTTAGCAAGTTGATCACACTCACTCTGCAGATCCTTTTTTAAGCATTTCTCTTACCTACTTCTTGTGGATTAATACCTTGAAATTAATCTTTGCTTCCTGTCACAAGGGGAAGACACAGTTAAGTTAAACTCAAGCAGCTTTCCAAGGTAAGATGGGAAGCATTAAAGATTAATGCAAAAGCCACTCTGATGAGTTACAGTAGCAAATAATTATTAAAATATATCATCTGGATTTAAAAGTTGCAGCTGTTATTGGTGGGAGGATGCTCTTGGCTTGGGGAGGAGGGGACTTTCTTTACTGCAATGGTAGGAATATATAGACTGAAAAGGAAAGCTAAAGAATAAACAGGTTCATGTTTCAGTAAAAATGTCCTTTGTATTTCTTCAGTGTCATCAGACAAGATCAATGGAGAAGAACCGAAAGATTGCCAGAGAAATCCTTCAGGAAAAAGTTGACCTTTTCTACAAAGGTGAAGACAGTGATGTTTTTAAAGAGAAGAAAGCAGTAGAGAAGCAAAAGCAGGAGAAAAAAAGAAGAGCAAAGGAAAACCTAGAAAGGAAAAAGCTTTTCAAAGAGATGCAGCAATTGGATAAGGAATAAACATGTGAAATACTGACTTGCCCTAGCAGGGTAAGAGAATTGTTTGTCATTAGACCCAAAGAGTTTTCCAACTAACAAATGGTGCAGGGCTTCATAAGCACAGCTGAAACCCCGGTGCTGACCTGCTGTTCCTGTAAAGCTGAGGAGATAAAAGCACTCATGTACTCCTGCTTCTCCCTGCCATCGTCTCATTAATCACATTTAGCAATCAGTTTTGCTGCCAAGTTCAGGAGATAAAAGAATCCTTGTTAAAGAGGAGCTATAAGCTTTCCACCATTGTTAGCACAGACCAAAAAAAATCAATATATTTCCTTCTCTGCTGGTGACACCTTGGGCTGCTTCATGGGAGCTCCAGCATGTGAGAACAGCACTAAAAAGTTCTCAGTTCCCATCCTTACTGAGGCATAGTGAGTGCCTGAGTGACATAAATCCTCCACAAACTGTGCCCAGGTTTGGATGCTGGTTGTGATGCACTGGGAGGGCCCTCCAGTTCAGGGGTAAAATTGAGACATTACAGATAAAAAATGACTTGTGTTGGAAGCTGCCTCCCAAGGCAACAGAGTCCAGTTCATCCAAGCTGTGAATTAATTAATTAGAGTTGTTTATTATGTTTATGCTGTGCCTCAGCTCAGCTCGGCCATGTTGGTGCCTTCGCTCATTTTGACAGTTTCCCATTTTACAGGAACAAATGCAGCTGCTTTTCCTTTATCACCATTACTCCAAAGCCACTCCTCAAGTACGTTTTTCCTGTTTTTATCCTGTTAACAACTCCAGCAGCTTAACCAGAACTTCTCTTTCGTTTTTGGACAGCACCCTCACTAGTTGCCACCATGTTTTGGCCTTCAACAAAGACCCAAAGCCAGAGCATGGATTTTGAAGGCAACAGAAACTTCTAGAACTTCACCTCCTTGTCCCAGAGACCAGCTGTACCCTGTGCCATGGATGGAGTGCTCCAGCAATCTGCAGTCCCCTTCCCTTGTCCTTTCCTAAACTTTTATCTGTTGACAGTTCTTGCTCCTGGAGTGTGATTAAAGTGACTGTACATAGTTTTAATACAAACTGTTAATGAAAATAAGCTTTATTACGTCAAGTAATAAATACATACAAAGATGCAAATAACAGTTTTAGTAATTTATCCAGAATGTTCCTTTTTCTTTTTTTTTCTTTTTTTTCTTTTTTGCAAACTTTAAACTGAAATCTCCAGCCTTAATGTAGAAATTAGCTTTCTGGGACCTTGTTATTATTTAATAGGTTTCCCTATTTTCCATATAGCTCATGCACTTTAAGTGGACTTCAAAGCACTAACAGTCATGCAAATGTTTATGCAAAATGAACAAAAAAAAGGAAAAATAAGAGAAGGGGGAGGTTATTTCTAAGCAGGGTCTATGCTGTATGACAAATTGTGACTTAGCAGACTACTAGGTACAGCATGCTATTCTGCATTTATTAAAAAAAAATCCTTAGAGCTTATGTCAAACTTTGAAAGATTGACATTTTGGGGATAAGTGAACATAGTCAAAGGAAAAAAAAAACAGAATGAGGCTGTGGCTGGATAAGAAAAGAACTGAAATATAGCCTGGGAGAGAAAGAGCATTCCTCTGCATGCACATCAGTTTCCATGTTTTAGAAACATTTTAGGGAGTTTTAACGTCTTTAGAAAATGCAAACCCTCAGTAAGTTGAAAAATCCTTGTTTGTTCTTTTTTTTTCATTCTTAACTGTACATTTTTGCAAGGGCAAAACAAGAACGGTAAAACATTCAAAATAAAGGAGTTTGAATGTTTCAAGAGTCAAAAAGCATAAGTGTTACATTTTCTTCATGGAGAGATGGAAAGCCTTGCAGCTGAAGCAGTGGGCTAGGATCTTGCATTTCGTTCCGTCTCGGCCAGGCATTCCCGAACTAATCCTCTAGCATGGATAATGCCTGCAAAAGAATTGGAAGTGTTTTAAATCATCCCATTCAGGCCACACTTGCAGTGACAGTCCACAGAAAGGTTTATGTATTTCTGTCCCCAGTTGCCAAGGCTACCGCAGAAGGCCTCAGCAAAGGGGGACAGCCCTCGCTTCCCAAACATCAGTTGCCACTAAACAACTCTGCTTTCCCAAACTTGCATTATAAATTGAAAAGGGACTAAAGTAGGAATTAGAACACAGTAAGATTTGTAAGTCTCCAGTGGCAGGTAGATCTTAATGTGCAGTGTGGGCCTCCTTAAAATCAAAGATTTAAGAGGGGAAAAAAAAAATCTTACCTACCAGTGGGTTATTTTGCTAGTGGAGTGAAACAAATTACAAAGTTATTTGGGAAGTCATTTTAGCAAGCTCTTAATGCCTTGGGATAGTTCTCCTCTGGGTGGGTACATCAAAATCCAAACCAAATAATACTTTTCAAAGACAACTTGTGTCTCTCATATGAAAACAAGAGGGGTTTTTTTTTAATGGTGTGTGCAGAAAGTTACCCCCTAACACTGGCTCAGCTCCCAGTGTAAATCATCACCACTTTATGTGCTGCCATGTCTACTCTCATCTGATAATGTGGAATTTTCCTCTACAAGTCCTGTTGCCTTGAGTTCCAGCAATCTGGACCTTGGTTCATAATTCTGGAACTAAATGTAGATTCATGCTCACAGAGCTGCTGAAAGAACAGAGCTTGAGATAGATGCTGAAATGAGAGACAGACAGATTTTTCTACAACAAAGGTTTATATTTTGCTGACTAGGCAAGACAGAAGGTGATTTCTCTGCTCCATCATGCTCCTTAACAAGGTGAAGAAAGGGCAGTAAGGCAAGAGATGGGGGTTAATCTCTAGAGATAATGGCTTCTGTTTCTAGAAGGCTGCTAGCCCAGATCACAGCAGCAGCCTACTGACCTGGGAGGACTTGAGTGCAAGAGTGATGAGTGCAGAGGGTTAAACTGCCACGGACCAGGAGAGCTGCAGCTGTGGGATGCAGAAACATGAGCTCAGAGCAGTTTGTTAGACCTGGATCTGGTGGCAGGATGCCCAGTTCATGCAGCAGAACTACTCTGAATAATGTAGAATACTGGGAATTTGGCCAGTTTTAGAGGTCAGTAGCCTCTGTGCACAGGAGCGGGCGGAGCTGGGACAGGGACTTTATTCAGGGATAACCTCCATGGCCATGGAGGCAGCAGTCACATGTTACCCTCAATCACTTCTGCTCTCACACTTGCACATGCTCCTTCAGCCATCAGGCTCCCAAAATGGAAAGAGAGGCACCTCTGTGACCAAAAGATGGCAGCAAAAAGTATTTATTTAGGATTTTGTGTAACACTGGCAAGTCACAGTGGCAGCATTGTATCTCAAACCTACGTTGTTGCAAGAGGCAGCAAAGCAACTTTTTTGCTCACCAAACTAAACCATCCAGTCCAGACAATGTCTGCATCTCTCCCGGTCTCTCTCAAGCTGTCCCCATTAGCCTGTTGCCATTCATGATCTATTAATTCTGACTCAGGCAATGCAATAAAGAGAGACTCCAGCAACATTGATTTTAGCTGGGCCAGATTCCACTTACCACTCATCAGCAGACTTTATTGCATCCTTTCCCAGAACAGCTACTAGTCATTTTATTGCATGTCATGGCAGATATATTACTCTTCCATAATGGTTGAGCCTTAAATAAAGGTTTGTAGTCTGGGGTAAGTGTAAGGGGGATTTGCAAGGTGCTGAAGTTAGTCTGTTACAATAACATTCCCTTTCTGGGTTGAATGCGTGAGCCAATCTCAGCACAAGGACCACAGGAAGGCAGGAAAAAGTAAGCATGTCATGCTAGAGAAGGAGAGGACCGTCAGTACAACTGTTGTCTGTGGCCTTTCAGGGTCATTTCAGGAGCTGGAGCAGGGGAATGTCCCACTGCTCCTTCAGAAATATCCCTGCACGTCCCCTGCAGAGGACAATGTCAGGCTGATGTCAGCAGTGGGGCATGCAGGGGTTTCTTTTACACTGCAAGGAAAGGGCGTTTATTACCTCTTTTAGCTGACAAAGCAAAGCTGGAGACACTCATCAGACAGCCCTAAAAGCTGCTCTGTCCCTTACTAGTGGACTTTTAATGGCATACACTTGACAGGACCTAACAGAGCCTAAGCAGCCCCACTCTCCTCTCTCCACAGAGTTCTGTCTGTGTTTGACATCTCAGCCTGAACCCCCAACACTTTTTCGGGTTTTTTTTGTAGCTCTTTTCTCCACCAGCCTCAGTGAGAACTACCACAATGTTGTATTTCTTTAGGCAAAACACACTTCACTGAAGATTCTTGGGCCAATTAGTTTGGTGATGTGTATGAAATGCAAGCAATGCTTGGCTGTGGATTTTGGTGAGATGAAAGGGAATTGAAAGGGCAAGTAAATCACCAGGAGCCTGAAAGGATGTATCCAGGTTCTACAATAAGGTTTGAATTATTAACTGAAACTCCCTGTATGCACATGAAACACATTTTGTCAGTGTTTACTGCTAAGACAGAGCATCCCAAGGTTTCAGCTGCTGGTTAATGCTCCCACTTTCAAGAGGAGCCCAAGCTCTTCTTTTCAAAAGAAACAGTTGTCATTAAGCTGTATAGAAGTAGTGCACAAAGTGGATGGGAAACGATTCTTTTTTAAAATAAGTTTAAATGTTACCTCTTTTTAGCCTCTCCATCGCACTTTTACTCCCAGCATATGTAGGTCTAATCTCTTTTCCTAATTCTTCTATGATAGCTAGGAGTTCTGCATATTTGCTCTGTGGTACTTGACTGCTGCTGGTGCCCTGTAGTTGAAAGTAGATTAATTTCAGTCAAATACTGTAAAAACAAAACAATTACAAGAAACAGCAAGTGGAAGTTTATGGAAGACTACAAATAATTCTGTAGGTCTGTAAATTACTAAAAGAACAAAATTTCAGGATTATTATATAAACATGATTTTTTTTTTTTAATTGCTGCTGCTGTTGGACACACTGGTACATGCCCTTCAAAAATTGGAATCAACTGTGAGGATGAAACTGCAAGCCTTGGGCTTTGGGTGAAGCAGAAGTTAAAACAGTCCTGCAAAACTGGCAAACTGGGAACTGCTTATTTAACCCTGTTTCTGGTTTTTCAATGTTTTGGTGTATATTTTGTGGAGAAGTTAGCCAGGTAGGGAGACAGAGCAGATAAAACTGTACAGAAAAATTGGGTTTTTAACAGATAACTTTAAAATATATAAGCGCCCTTACAGAACATAATGCAAGACATTTCTCTGTGACTCAGACAGGATGAGACTAGCAGTTAATTAGGAACCAACCTCACTCAGCACTCAGCTTAGCCTAATTTGATCCCCAGACATGTGCGAGGAAACAGTCTGCCATTTGGGTTTGATTTCAGACCTTGGTGGGAGGGAGGAACACCTCAGATTACAGGCTACAATCCCTGCTACTATGCAAACATAGGGTCAGTGATCTGATTAAAGGAAAATAAGCAGAGCTGTACCTGCATCCCTTGTGTATAGCCTAGAGATGGGGGGCCGTAGTCGTTTATGAGCTGTCTGTATTGTGCCGATGTTGCCATACTTGTGGAGGGAGAGTGAACACTCCCAGCTGCAGAGAGAAAAGGAAAAAAAAAACACCAAAAACTGTTATTATCTAAAGATTAATTAGTCTGTTACACTGGGACATATTTTAATCACTTGTTCCTAAAGCTGTGACCTCTCACCTTTGTCTAAGATCACTAATGACATTTCTGAGCGCCGCTGCTAGGAAGAGAATGGCTGAATTAATGCTTCTCTAGTGCTTGATGAACACTTGGAAATAGCACAGCCTGCAGCATTATCAGTGCAAATTGTTTGCCTAAAAGTGAAGCAGAGTGCAGCATGACAGGTTGTTCTGCCTAGACAAACTGTAAGTATTAAGGAGCCCTATTTTTGCATATATACATTCCACACAGATGAGTGTAATGTGCTGTGCTATTTTTACTTTTTCAGTGCAAGTTATCTGAAAGTAATTTTGCAACTCAAAGTGTCATCACATGGTCAAAGCAAGTTACCCTCAGTACTATTTTCAGCCAATGCCAAAACTATTCCTATTCCTAGGGAACAGTCAAGTTGAGGTACATCAGATCTGCTGCTCATTGTGTGATATGGGAGGCGAGGAGTGCTACCATTATTCCT